ACCGCTTTCACTTTTACAACAGCTTAGTTTTATAACTGCTTTCCACATCATCTGCACCACGACAAAACATTTACGTACAATACCGTAAACTGTCAGACTCGTTCCTTTAAACTGTTTCCATGGTTCAAAATAAAGTGATTTTCCTTTTCGCACAGGTTTATATTTGGGGGGTTTAATAGCCTGGATTGATTACTCAGAGGAATGTGTGACTTTCCAACATTTCCCAGCTGCAGAAAATGTGTTCTACTGTCCCAGATAAACATGGTTTTATTAATTTCAGCTAAAGTAGATTAATATGTTTTATCAACATGTGCAAGGTCCAAAGCTTTAAACAAAGCCCAGAATAAAAGGCTTGTTCCCACAGCTGTAAATCTGTATTACTTTTCTAATCCTTTCTTCAAAACTATTTCCCAAAACTCACAATCCCTCACAAGTAAACCAAATTCTCTAGTAGATTTCTTGATAAATTTGCTTTTCCAGGCAACAAACAACATTTGGGTTACTTCATTTGTCCGCTTGATGCTGAAGAGAAAGACCAGCGTGGGTCTCTTGATCATTTTAACCAAAGCAATTGTTTTTACATTATACAAGGAGATTTGGCCCAGTATTGATGAAAAAATAATGACTATCAGTAGAGTAGATAGCTAGTAGATGGCATTAGCTGCATTTCAGCAAAGGAGCTTTTCCCAGGAACTGGAGACTTTTGGGGCAACTGAGGGCAACTGATAGTGACTTTATATTTCATCCATGTCCAAATAACCACACCAACAGCTGTCACCCTCTCACCAAGCTCTTTGCTGATGGTCGTGCAATTGATTCCAGACTTGTGCAAGTCTACAACTGACATCCTCTGATGGCTCTTTGGTCTTGCACATGGTGCTGGAGAGGTTTAAATGGAAGACACTGATTCTGTGGGTGGGTGTGCTTCATACACATAACGACTTGAGATCTGGAGGATCTATAATTGACTGACTGGGAGCCAGAATTCTGGGTGGGTTGTAGGGGACCAAATAGTTTGTTTTTGTCTGTTGTTTTTTGTTTCAATCAATGACATGAAACTCAATTATAACTTTTATGTAATGATTAATGTCCTGTCTCTCTCCATTAAAATGAAAGTACCATAAAAATTAAAGACTGTTTCCTTCTAAGTGAGCAAACAAATTCAGCAGAGGATAAAATAATTATTTATATGGGAAATTTAATTTAATTTAAGTTTCTGCTTGGCTTAATGCTTCCCACCTGCTCATTTCTATTTGGACTTTTGTCACCCAATCATTATTTGGTTCAATAATCCAATAAACGACATATGCTTTTATTCTTCCTTCAGCCAGTGAGTCATGCATTTGAATACACACCTCATTAGACTGGGATTGCTGTTGACGATTCAAGTTCACAACATATTTAACTGAAACATTGATCATGTTTAAATTGTTTCATATAAAACTGATTTTCTCATTTCAACAAAAACATCTGAGCTCAGATTTCACGTTTTATGACAACGACAAGACGTTGAGGGTGTTTAATGTAATAATATCATCCTGACTACATGAAGTTACAGCAGCAATAACATCATAAAAGCTGTGGACATTAATAATTGTTCATTTTAATATGTAAAATTAACAATTTTATATCGTAAACTCAACAATTAGGCAATTAAATTAACAATTAAAAGTGAAAAATAATCCAGTTGTGAAAAAATTTGAAAATCAACAGTCAGTTTCCTTAAAACTTCAACAAGCAGATGTTTAGCTGAGCAGATAATGTGGATTGTCGTGACTTTTATTGATGGGATAACAGGACTCATAAATTCCCATGTTATCAACTGGGAAGTATTTACTATGCAAAAAAAACCCACACACAGCACAGTGGCATGGTGGTGAGCAGTTTCCTCACAGCAATAAGGTCGTGAGTTTGACTCCACCATCTGGCCGGGGCCTTTCTGTGTGGAGTTTGCATGTTCTCCCCGTGTCTGTTTGGTTTCTCCAAGTGCTCCAGCTTCCTCCCACAGTCCAAAGACGTGCAGTGAGCTTAGGTTAATTGGTGATTCTAAATTGCCCATAGGTGTGAATGACTGTCTGTCTCTCTCAGGGTGTACTCCACCTCTCGCCCTATAGTAGCTGCAATAGGTTCCAGCATCCTTGATAAGGATAAGCGAAAGAGACTGTATGGATGGATGGAAAAAAATACACACAAACAAACAAACAAATGTGTGTGTCTACAGCTTTTACTACTATTACTATGACACCGAGTTAACTTTTCCATCCAGGCTCTCCTTTCCACCCAAGGACCGATGATCATGCCAATCAACAAGTTATTATGTTGGACAATTTGGTGAAAGAAAAGAGAAGAAGAGAAGGGGTGGCTGAACAGGGAATTAATCCAGATACCCGCTTCCCCCCTCCTCTCCTGATGAGGCCTCAAACTCTGTGTCCATGGAGGGATGGAGCAGTATGGAGGTGGGAACACTGGGATGAGGGACGGATGGATGGCTTGTTAAGAGGGCGGTGAGGTATTACTTTAAAAGTTTCTCTCCACCCCCGTCGGAAGTCAGCGGGACAGCAGCCGACAGCTTTTCCAGAGGATGGGAAAGCTGGAGGCTGGGATTACTGCTCATTTCAGGAAGGCGCTCAGTGAAGCCAGAGCTGCGGCTAACTATTACTTTAATGTTGAAAAATTGTCTTTAAAGCCACCTTTCTGTCTTAAAGTGTCCTATATATAGAAGATCCTGTTTACATTCTTGATTAGCTTGAGCTAAATGACACCTACCACAGATGAAGGGAACACTCACTGCTGTGGTATTTTCTTTAATGGGTGATATTCTTGATATCCTTTCCATCATTTATACACATTCCTCCTAAATTTAAGCTGTCCTCAATTATAGAGTCTGCAATGAGAGGCCCATCTGTGGGTCAGCAAGGTTTAAGAGACTCTCCCTAGTGGTGCATTTAAGGGTCTGTGAATCTGTGCTTTATGTTTTCTTTCTGTTTTTCTTCTGAGTTTGATCTCCAGGACAATATGCCACAACTACAACATGTTTTATTAATCTCAAGTACCAGATTAAGAGCCTTCCTAAGTACACCAAAAAAGAAGACTTTTCAAGACATAGCACTTAGGAGTTATAAGTATTAGGATATAACTGTCATATTTTACCTTGAATTAAGTAAAAACAACAGCTGTTTGTAAGGTAGGTCATCAGTTTTAATATTAGACTGGCTTACCAATCAGTACCAACAGGTAAAGTAACTGGAATAGCAGATAAGGATTTAGGTGGGGTGAAATAGAATAGCATACAAGAGGATAACAGATTGATCAGGAGGACTTTGTGGTTTCTCGGACCAACAAAATATAAATGATCTGCCAATAAACACATTTCACCTGATGCCAGCGACCAGGGGATAAGACAAGATAAGATAAGATAAGATAAGTTGTTGCAACAGCAGAGTGGATATGGCGTTATTTTTTGTGCCAGTATTCTGAGCGCACGTAAAGAAAAATTGCAGGTGCAAGTGTTGCATTTTGAGGAGAAATTTATTTTGAGCGAAGAAAAGCTAAATTTGAGTGAACAAAATTCATTGCTGCGTGCAAATTATGTATTCCAGTGTTTGCTATTATCCACACACACACACACACACACACACACACACACACACACACACACACACACACACACACACACAATAGCAGCCCCTCTCGCTCAGGTTTTGCACTTGCGCTTGCTCGCAATGTGCTGCTTGCGCTCTCAACATTTCTGCCTGTGCGCGCTCAATTCTTTCTGTATACCGTTATATTTGTGCCACAAAACCAGCCAATCACAGACTTGGATGCAAAAAAATCTGATTGGCTGTTTTGGTCTCCAATCAGCTCGAAATGACGAAATGCAATATCCCAGAATCCATTTCGTCCAAAACTCAAAGGAGGCTGCGGCGGAGGAACACAGAGTGGCGGAGTTTGAAATATTACTCTTTCTGGTCACAAAATAAACTTTTAAGATATTTTCATGCGAGAATGGTGCTGTGTAAACTTCAAATATCTGCTCGATTTATCAAGACATCACATATTTGCATAAGTGCTCTAACGTTTTCGGAGAACATGGATCTGAGCCAATGTGCCCTCAAATATCTTTTTGCTACAACAGACCCAAGAACCAAGTGAAATTGAAGGAAATTGTGTCAGTCTAAGAAATTACACACTGACTGATAGTGAAGTTGACATTTGTTTAGAGGTGGCAAAGGCCAAAAAGTTCCTTTGTATCCACAATCAAACCAATTAAACCACTCCTCATGGAGGTCAGAGGTCATGTTGAGTTAGAAGAACCTAACCACGGAAGATCTGCTTGTACAAATGTTTTCATTCCAGCTTCTAATAGGAGCATAGTGGTAGTGAGAAGCACCAAACAGGACATAAATATATCTCTCACATTATGTAATCTCTTCTTTCACAGGTCAAAGATTCTTTCACTACAAACCATCCCGAACCTCAAAAAACTTTGACTGAATGCTCCGATCACAGCAGTGTGTATTGCAAGAGAAAAGCAACAGCGCAACAGAGACAGTCACACAGCCTTGGGATGAATGAGGTCTGTGAATGAGTCTTTTTTTTTTCTTTGGGGGGGGGGTTATACGAGAATGGACTAGAAGAGCAAGTGGAGGGTACAGAGAGGAGGAGCACAGGAACGTGGGCAAGTGATTCTCCAGATGAGATCTAATATGTGAGACGGTGCATCCTAAAGAGACGTTTTCTCATGGGTCCACCCCATGAATACAAATTCAACCCGCCACCCGCTCTGTGCTGGAAGGACGAATGCACCTTGCGTAGTGTAGAAGTGCAGCCTCTTTCTTTTTCTTTTTTTTCCCCTCGATGTTTACTTTCATCCAATCACGGCACTCAGCTCTGGTGACTTCATGAAAGCTCTTATGAGTCATCCATTCATAGCTTTTTGTCTTGTACCCGAATCCGTTCGCTCTCATTCAGAGTAATGAGGCCTCGTATTTATAATGATGGAGAGACTGTCTGCGAGCATGTTGGCGGAAAAATTCAAATGTTGCCAACGAAACGCCGCAGGTGAGTTTGGTAAAGGAGGAAAACAGTTAGTCTGCATGTGTGTGCTGACTTTAAAGTCCCTCTTGAACATGTTTCATTTATTTATTTGTGTGTGTTTTGTGCATTTAAATGTGTATGTTTCTTTTGATGTTATTTACTGTGATGGCGTGCACATTATCATATCTCTAAGTTTTCATGCTCATGTGTTTGTGTGTGTATGGGTGTGTATGTGTGTACGTGTTTCTGTGTGTGTATGAGAAAGAGAGATAACAGCCTGTAAATGTACTAGGGCCGATCTTAGTGACATCACTATTTGAGAGAATCTGAGTGGTCAGGAAACTCATTTAGAGTTAAATTGGGTTTACCAGCTGGACACTAGAAGGAAAAAGTGTGTGTGCGTGTGTGAGAGAGAGACAGAGAGAGAGAGAGTGTGTGTGTAGGTGTATGTATGTGAGCAAGAAAAGAGAGAGAGGGAAGGGGGAGGAGATACAAAAGGGAGGAACAGAGTGGAGAGGAAAGCAGAGAGACATAGTAAGGTTTAGGAACAAGAAGGAGTTGTTGCCTGTGATACAGTACAGACAGACAGACAGACAGACATTTTCCTCTTGCAACTTCTAGCAGCGGTACCAGTCTGTCTTAAACAACTAAGGGTGGAAGTGTAGGCGACAGAGAAAAGGGAGTTGCCTACTAGCAGAGGTCAGGCAGGCAGAGGGGAAGCTAGTGGATGTTTTTTAAGAGTTTGCTTATCTGACACTGACAACAGGATGAGGAGCTGAGCGAGGGAGTAGACAGGGAGAGAAGCATGGAGCAAGCAACTTTACCTACAGTACATTTGCATAAGAGACATAGGAAAGACATGCACTGGCTTCTCTGAGAGAGGTAAAGAGACAGAGGTAAACAGTCCACTTTCTCCATTCTGTCCAAAGGAGCGGGAGTGAGAGCCGAGGGATCGTAACACTGGAGCTCAAGGATAAACCATGGACTCTGCATACATCCCACTACACCTGGACGTGAGTACTACATCCCTGTCCCTCTGTCTCTGTCTCTCACACACACATGCATAGATCTGTCTGTCAAACCACAGGCCACAGGAACTGCACTGCTGAAACCATTAGTCTCCGCTGGGAAAAACACACTCGTGTATATGAATACACTGCTGGCCCACTGTATTGCTCAATCTACCTCTTGTCAGGTAAGCAACTTGTCTGAGAATAATGTGCCCATTATGGGTTCAAAGAGCATGACGTAACTCGCCAACGCTGTGCAACATGCGAAGTATGAATTGGCCCTCAGTGTTATTGCTCAGCAGCTTTAATGTGAAAAGCAGAGGTGTGTTTTTGTTCTGTATTTCACATCGGTTTAGCTGTCAGACGCACAACGAGGGCAGTCTCTGAGCTTTCAGCAGTCATGGGTTAGATATGTCAGTATTTCCACTGATGCTGTTACAGTGTTGTGCCTCAGTAGGGCCTCCTGTTAACCACAATGCACTTGTGAGATCTCTGTGCAGCATCCCGGGCTGAGGAACAGAGGATGAAAGAGACAAGCTGTGAATACATGCTGAACTACTGATGCTCTGTTCTACCTCACAATTGAGACTTAAGCCAAAAAAAACAGTGCACGTAGGCATGTGCATGTAGATGTGACCAGCCAGAAAAAGCAATTTACAGTTAAGCTGTGGAAACAGTGTGTTTTCGAGCTAACTCTAAATCTATATCAAAGTTGTCTCACATTTTTACAACCCTTCACTGTTACATATATTGGCAAGTTTTTTTCCGTGTTAGGTTCACTCTGCCTGGCTGTTAGCCTGTGTTTAAGCTCTGTGGTGCTCTGTGCTCGGACACATTTGTATCCAAGTGCGTGTATGTTCTGTATGTGTAGAGCAGAAATGGACGCCTGGGTCATTAACCAACTAATCAGTCCAGCTGGGATGAATTAGAGTGCTGTTCTAATAGACTCCAATAAAACTCTACAGCAGCCTACCTGGAATATTGTTCTAATGATTTCATCTGTTACGCCTCAGAAAGTAGAGCCACAACTGCAACTGTTTTGGACATTTTTCACCCCACCCCCATTATGTATTAACTCCACAGCCCAGAGTAAACCATTAATGATGAGTTAAGTATGGGGAGTATGGTACAGGCTTAACCTCACATTTAATTATAGTGACTGTATGTTCACTTTATACATTTTAATGGGGGGAAAAAGTGTTAGCCAGTACAGATGTATCCTCAGAAGTGATCCCAGGTGTGTATATGCACACTGCACATCATATCTGGACCCATGAGGCTATCCGACATGGCACAGTTTCAAGAAAATGAGTTAGCTCAGAGCCTGAAAATGAACCCTGTGGCATGTACGCTGCACGTATCGTGTTCTGAAAGAATGGGACGGCAGCATAGAAAAATGAGAGCTTGGAAGGGGGGGAGAGAAATCAGGGAGAGTGAGAGGAGGAATTTAGGAAAAGAAACACGGGAAGAACAACAGGAAGGGAAAGTTGAGGGACCAGGCGTAACATGAAGACAGCGGCAGTGGATAAATCAGCCGGCTGTGGTGACACTCCGGCCCCCTGGCCCGGCAACAGTCTGCCGCACTCTTCCGCAAAAACACCATTCATTTTAAGACCTAGGAAAAAAAGAGCGGAACTAATGGGGGAGATGGAGTGGGAGAAAGTCCATAGGAAAATGGGAAGGTGATGCAGAAAAGCATGAAAAGTGACATTTTAACAGGGAAGAACAAAAGATGTAAGAGAATAAAGGAAAAAAAGATGGTTTGAAGGGGACATGAGGGACTGTGCTTAAAGAAAAGTAAAACAGGGTTATATACGGTGGTGTATGACAACAAAAGGACAAAGTTCAAGGAATGCAAGGAGGAAGGAGGAAGGGGAAAGGGAGCAGAGTTTGAAATAAACAGATAAAAAGAGGGGCAGAAAGAGAAACGGATGTCAGAGGTCAGAGGTTTTAATCAGTGAGTTCAGAAAGACGCGGGGCAGACCAGCAGCCACACTCGTCCGCCGCATGCCAGGGTCACTCAGCTGTCTGCTCATGAGGTCAGGTCACATATAATAAGTCTCATAGGCTGAGCACAGAGGGGAAAGACACACAAACACGGCTGTTGAACTCCATACCTTTCATTTCGCCTTATCCCTGACCCCCTTCATTATACGGCTCTCCTCATTTATCCTTCCAGAACATTTCATTGTTTAAGCCAGAGGAAAGGTATAAACAAGTCAGAGATAAAATAAGGAACTGGGGAATGTAATCATAAAAATGTCAGTTTTTCTAGCCAACTTGAATGAGCTGACATCTGGGTGCCACCCACTCAGATGCACAGAACACATAAAACATCTAAATTAAGTCTGGATGCTCTTTGCCCTCCCTTGAAAGTGGATTGAACCATTCATAAGGCAGACACCCAGGGAGGAAACAAAGAGCCTGAAAAGCAGTGTAGGACACTGTTTCCAAACTTCTTTCTCTGTTTTTGCCCCTGTTCCTCTTCCTCGCTGCAGCTGTGACACACCCTTCTGTGTGACAACCTAACCTTTGTACCTCAGGGTGGTTTTGTAGGTGAGGAAAGTACAGGAGAGATGTGGTGTTGTTGTCCTTAATCTGCTTTACAAGCCTCCACGATATATGGGAGAGGTTGTCCGGCAGTTCCTAATCTGTAATTGTCCTCTGCTGCGTTGCCTCAGGTGAAACAGCACTGGGTGTGGTGTTTAATGGCCAGCTAGCAACAATCCCACGCTAGAGGTGGCTTATTTTCCCAGGCTTGCCCTTTGAGCCACGTACCACACACAGTACACATACCCACAGTCACATATACATAAAAAATACACACCTTCACACCTGTGACCTCCTTTTAACCTTTTTTCTGACAGCGTGGTAAGATTAGCTGTCATTACAGCGTCATTATGTGTTTACTCAGTCATAAACTCCTCTGTTATCTCGCTGTAGAGGCCCTAATCGATTCTCTGTCCCTTACAGGCGAGAGATAAAGAGATAGAAGCGAGAATGAGCGAGAGATAGGTGAGCACTTGGACGAGAAAAAAGATAAAGCCAAACTTAAAGTCCTGCAAAAGACATAAATTTAGATGCAGATGGGGTTTATTGTTCTGTTCTTCTTTACTGTGCAGCAGTTCATCTGATTTGCAGTGCAGATTTTTCTTTTCTGCCTGGTAAACAAGTTTTGCACCTTTGCACTGACCCTTTAACATCTCAGCTCCTTTTCAGGTCAAGCTAGCCATTACCTTGCTGCTTTGCAATTATTCACTCACTTATTAACACTCATACTACAGAGATGTAGGGTGTTGGCCGGGTCGCAGTAGTATTTGTGTGACCCCTGTCTGTGATCGCGTTCCAGCACTGAATGCCCTGCCAACACAATCAAGTGTAGCTAAAAGAGTGCTCTTGCAGCATCTGTGGGTTTCAAGTCAAATTAGTGACTGCGAATATAATCTTTTCACCCATTTGTATGTGCAGTAAGTGAGTGAAGCAGGCAGGAATATGGAAGAAATAGGGAGGTTACATGCAGCTGGGCTGTGCAGGTGCAAATGAATCTAACTGTGGATGACCCAACGTTGGGAATACAACGTGTGTGCTGAGCAGAGCATGCCAGTGCATGCACATCTAAACTCTAGGGAGATTACGGATGTCCCATTTCTTGTCTTTCTTTTCTTTTTGTTTTATTTGCAAAATAAAACAACACAATTGTAATTGTGTGGTGGATACCTCTGTGCATGACGGCAGCCTTGAATTCATGATTTAACTAATGCAGATTTGTTTTGATTGATTTGCAGTGGCATTACTAGTAATGCTGCCCCAAAGCTCATATTTTTCAAAACTGTGACATTAAAAGCTTTCATTTGTTTTGATCACATCACTGTAGAAGACATGAAGTCCAATTATTCAGCTGGCTTACAGTCAGTGAGCACTTATTGCGGCACTATTTTTTTTGTTTTTTGTAATTAAAATACCAGAATTTACCCTGACATCAGACTAAACTGAGCATTTAGGTCTGCTATTTGATGCCTGAGATACATCTTTAATCTTCCTATAATTAAGGGGTTAATTAAATTAGACCTCAAATAAAAAATATTTTTAAAAAGCTACTTAATTCTTGAATAAGTATTTTCTCAAGTCATTTGAAAAAAAAAAGGAAGAAAAAAATCTGGCTACATGTCACTCTATCAGGTCTCTGTAAATACCAAACACATCACAGGCATCCACACACACACACAAACAGCACTACTAGAGTAGAGCACACACAAACATGCAGCATGATTAAATTACAGATCGAGACTGTTTAATTACTGCTGCTTAGGTGTCCTGTGAGATAAATGGATCTCTAGGGGAAGAAGCCTGCAATAAATTAACAAAGAAAAAACAAAGTAGCACTGTTTCTACAACCAGGAGTAGCAAGCAAACAACTTCTTATGGACATGTGAATGGTAAATTTCTTGAACATATGCCACATGAAGGCTGAAGACTGATGAGAAACTAGTGTGTCCAGGAAGGAGAAGACATAAGCATAATATACAGAGTCCAGAAGCATCTCTCTGGGGCTATCTCTTTTGCAGATTTCAAGCAATACTTTATATTGTGTCATTATGTCATATGATTTAAATTCTTATTTAAAACACACAGAAGGAAGGACAGAGTGGTGCATGACCTGAAGTCGCAATTTTTTTTCTTTGATGTTTAGGTTACTTTGTATGCGTTCCTTTCTTCTTCCACTTCCTCTTCCTGTTCTGTTCTCTACCTTATTACCTCTCCTCACCTGCGCATCTCCCTCCAGGTCCACCATGTTCCCTCCTAACCTCCTGCTCCTCATGGTCCTGCTGCTACCTCATGCCTCGTCTGGTCGCCAGGGTGGAGACACCAGCGAGATCGATCATGGCAGGGTGCACCCCACACCTTCCGCTTTGTCACCGTCACTCCGGGATCCCGGTCTGGCTCAGACCATCCAGAGTCTCCTTTTGAGCCGACTGGGGCTGCAGTCTCAGCCTGACCCAAGGCCTGGAGTGCCAGTGCCACGGTACCTCGTGGATCTTTACCACTTCCACCAGCAGCAGTACCATCTAGTAGAGGACCCTTCATTTAATTTCCCCAGTCAGCACATCCAGGAGGCCAACACTATACGCAGCTTCCACCACAATGGTAAGCTTACTTACACAATTAGATGGCACGTAGTCAGGTGATTCCTCTTGATGTCAAACTAGATTCATGATATATGAATTAACTGTTTGAGCTGATTCTAGCTTTGAACCTTTATGGCAGTAACACACCTTTGCAAGTCTTTGTATGTCAGTTTTGAACAGTCAAAATAAGATACTACACTATCAAACGAGATAAGTGTAGTAAGTTTTTTTCAAAACATGTATGAGATCAGATTTAGACTAAGATAAAATATAGACTCGGGACTCTTCTCATCATAGTTGGATTAACCTGTTCACCAGGGAAACATTTGCTTTTGGGCCTATCCTGGCCATCATATTTGCCTCCCAGTTGCCCTTATTTCAGCACAAACAAGCTAGAATAAATGCAGACCTGCGATAATGGTTCATTATCAGTGAACCATCAGTGAGTTAACACTGCATATTCCTGTCAGACATGTTTGCTCCAAACTAAGAAAATGACAAAGGAGGAGCACACACAGTCATTTAATCTAATCTGAAGGCTCAGGTAATCCTGTAGCACCACTGAAGGAATTCCCAACTTTTGCCAGTACAATTATTTGATAATACAGAGGATGACATTAGTTAATGTTGCATTTTTGTGAGGAAAATCCATAAAGGAACTAACCCACGTGCTGTAACTATAAGGCTTTTAGTGTTATAGGTTAATGTATAATGTAAATGTAATGTAAATTTCTTTTAAAAAAATCTATCTGATATAGATTTCATTTTTTTTAAAATTAAGTTTCTTTAAAAAAACAACAATGTTAAATTATTTGCTGACTACGCTATATAGTCTGACAATTTTCCTGCTATTGCTTAAATAAAGTCTTACTAAAGTGTTATATTGCTTTGTCACTCTTCCACTTAGAGCCCCTTGGAAACAGTCTTGGTGCAGAGGATCATACCAGAGTGCACATTTCCTTCAATATCTCTTCCATCCCTCAAGATGAAAGTGTGCTCTCTGCTGAGCTCCGCCTCCGACGCAGTGACGAAGCAGCTCTGGGTCCTGGACCCCACAGACTAAACCTATACCTCACTGAGCACCATGAGGACCCTGAGCCCACTCTGCTGGAAACAAGGTTACTCACCAATGGCCTCCGTAGTTATAAAACAAGTGGTTTCTGGGAGGCTTTTAGTCTTAGTGCAGAACTCCTACATAAGGCCCATGCTGGGACTGGCAGCCTAGGATTCCTCCTGGAGGTCAGACCTGAAAACAACACCACCTCACTTCCTGAGCAGACCCTCTCTTCTGCTGCAAGTGAGGGGACAGAGAAATCAAAAGAGGCAC